TTGCACAGAAACTGCTAAAACCGAATTATGAAGAGCACTGCAAATTCAGTTCCTTTTCTATCTTCATCAACATGTTTTTGATTTTTAAATTCTTTTTTTTTTAATGTTTAAGATCGAAGAAGAAATTAAGGGCTGTCTTGATTTCTTGAAGTCTGTTTATGCTGTCTTTGGTTTTACCTTTCAACTGCATCTTTCTACAAGACCTGAAAATTATCTAGGAGAATTAGAGATCTGGGATCATGCTGAAAAGGTAATTCATAAAAAACAAAAGCCTTTATGTTTGCTTTTTCAGAAATGGATGTTTAGCAACTTATTTCACGTTGAATGCTGAAGTTAGTGAGATTGTTTAAATCAGATGCTAAGTACTCTACGTACTGAAAGTACTTGTTGAAAAGTTGTATAAAATAGACTTTTTGTATACAATGACAACTGTTTGGCTCTTACTTAGGCCCTTATTGAGAACTGTTTCTATTTTCATTATTATTATTTCAAATTGAGAATAATCACAAAGTTTTCATAAGAAGCTACGCATATTTCAAGATTACTTATCATCAGTGACTGAATGTTTGAACATGCTGCCAATGGGGAGCATGACAATGCACAAAGGAAGCACCCTTCATATTTCAGAGGCTACATGATCTAGTGTAGACAGATGTTTTCACCTTTACAGTAATGGAAAGCTCCGAGAGACCTATCAAGTTTTAAAAATTATTTATTTATGTATATAATTAGCAACTTCAAAGCAGCTTGAATGACTTTGGAGAACCATGGAAGTTGAATCCGGGAGATGGAGCATTTTATGGTCCCAAGGTTAGTGAATTAGTATTTTAATACAACTTTGGAACAGGACAAAATTCGGACAAACTGTGCCTAGGAACTCTGCTATTTTGCTTGACAGATTGATATTAAAATCAAAGATGCTATTGGCAGATATCATCAGTGTGCTACGATCCAGCTTGACTTCCAACTACCTATTCGTTTTAATCTTACTTATGTTGGGTGAGTGGTTAAACTACCTGTTTTTTTTTTTTTTTAAATGCCTTCAAAATTGGTAATTTGTGTGTGGGCTAGGAGAAGGGTGTCTTTCGTTTTATTCTTTTCATCTTTACCTATCTCTTCCAGGAAGGATGGTGATGATAAAAAACGGCCAGTAATTATTCACAGAGCTATCTTGGGGTCTGTGGAGAGAATGATAGCTATTTTAGCAGAAAACTATGGAGGAAAATGGTAAGTGGCGCTGATTTAAGGAACACTTGACTATGTAGCTAGAAGCTATAGAGGCTTCCTATGTATCATAATAAACAATCAAGGCATAAATAAAGACATGTAATAAACGTGGATAATAGATGTAAAATGAAAGTTCTGTTAACAATTTTAACAACTGTGAGATCAGCTAGGATGTGAACAGAAGCTCAAAGTTGTTCCTGTGTCAATCAACCAAGATCGGTCTATTTTCCATTTTATGTGAACTGGGAAGAGTGAATGTAATAGCATAGCCGGCATCTTTAGCTTGCTGAGTTATTTTTATAAAGTAAAAAAGGGAGTTTGGGGGAAATAATGCTAATATATATGTTGGTGTTTTTGTTAATATACTTGCTAGGCCTTTCTGGCTGTCTCCACGGCAGGTCATGGTTGTACCTGTGGGACCTACTTCTGAAGAGTATGCCCGGCAGGTGAGAACAGAGCCTTCCTTTTTATAGTAGCAAGACATTTTAATGGCTGCCCAAATGTTTGTCCTAGCATAATAACTGATTGCTTCAGTGACATTGCAGGCGTTATTTCCATAGGTGAAATCTTTCATACCTTCGAAAACTTGTGTAAAATTTGAAAAAAGGGTTTGTAACAAGTATCTTGGGCTGCGTTATCAAGTACATAACTCAGCAGTCATTTAAAAAAAAAATCTGGACAGTATACAGTAACTCACATTTCATAATGAAATGTATCTGCTTAAAGTAAGAATGGAACCGGTTTCCTCCCGTCCCTAGCACGTATGTTCTTGACTGTATTAGAGCATGTGTGCTATTACAGCCCTTCTGCTTTTTATTTAATGCGAGCATAAATGACTTCATTCCTCTTCCTCCCTTCTGTGGCTGAGGAAACCTTTCTGACATTCAGCAGTGCAGCTGTCTGAGGAGATCAGCAGACGTTTCCTAGGGATGTTCCATCGTGTTGTCCTCTGAACTAGAGTCCTGCCAAGCCCTTCAGCGTGTGTGCAGCTTTCTTCAAATAACTTCACTGTAGTCTTCCATGTAGCTATTCCCAAGAGCAAAAATATGCACATATGTGAAATACTTCTTGGAAGAGATTACAGGATGTACTATTTCATGATGTAGAAGGTATATACATCTGTGTGTGTGTGATTTTTTTTCTTTTTTTTTAGGTTTGCAGTGATTTTTTTGAGACAGGATTTATGTCAGATGTGGATCTAGACCAAAGTTGCACGTTAAACAAGAAAATAAGAAATGCACAGCTGGCCCAGTATAACTTTATCTTAGGTACTTATATTTCTGAACATTGTGAAAATTTAAATTTTGTGTTGAGAGTTGGCCTAGACTCTCATCTTGTAATGCAGGCAGACAGCTTAATACTGTTTGTGTCTTTGCAGTGGTTGGAGAAAAGGAAAAAGCAGATAATGCTGTCAACGTGCGAACAAGAGACAACAAAGTTCATGGAGAGATTTCAATATCTGCTGCCCTTGAAAAGCTGAAGAAATTTAAGAGTTCACATACTGCAAATGCAGAAGAAGAATTCTGATACTGCTGCTACTTACTGTCTGTTTATTTAAGTGCCCAGGTGAAATAGCATTTCTTTCCTCCTCCACTGCAGTAATGCTTACTTGCAAGAATTTCCAGTTAGTCTATATTCAAACTAAGCAAATAGAACCCGTTTCAGTGCTGTAGGAATAGCATGAAAGGGCAGGTGTAACTGTCAACTGTTTTGACAATCCTGCGAATCTACTTGATAAAGGCTATTTATTTAAAATCTTAATCTTTAAAAATCTTAAACCTCTACTCAATTATCTTGATTGTACTGTGTAAATGAATTGGGGATACCATTAAGTCCAGGAACAGGACCCTGGCTTCTGCTGCCATCGCTGAATTACCTCAGTCACGTAGCACTTATATAACTGACGTGACCTGAAATCCAAAACTTGACAGTTGGTAGGTCTATAGGGAACATTTTTTTTTTTCCTTCTTGAATCCAAATTAGGTCAAACAGGGTGGGAAAGGAGGGGATAGCCTCATTATTCCTGAAATTGTGGTGTCTTTGAAGATCTCAGTAAAACAAGATACTGAAGGATTTAGAGGGAATAACTGGTTGCCATAAAGCTGGCTGCCCTAAAAGAAGTTGAATTACCTACTCTCTCCATGTATGGGCAGCTTTTGTTTTTGTTTGTGCTTGCTGGGAGTTTAACTCATTTCAGAAAAAAAAAACACGAAATTAATCTTTGATGGCTGTTTCCAATTTATTGCGCGTGTTGGGGATGTTGAGCAGGCTGAAAAGAGGTGGATGTTGTAATTTTCTTTTACTCCTTTTTATAATACACTATGTTGGAATTTGAAGGGGTTGTATTTATCTCACCGCATGCTTATGCGGTTGGGTGCAGTTGCTCTCAGGGGAAAACAGGAGTGGGGCAGAGAGATCCTGATCAGCCGCTGACCGCAGAATGAACACTCCTGGAATAGGTGCAAGTGCAATGAGCTAATGAATATGGACTTTTCCACCCAGGGAAGCTATAAAAACACTTCAATTAGACAGGGGCTGTATGACCAGGGAGGGGGAACATAACAAAGAGCCACCTCAGGTGGGGCGGGGAAGGCTGTAAGGGCGGTGGATCTGGGCCCCAGGGGAAAAGGAGAGGGCTGCCCGGTTGGGAAACTGGGATAAAAGGAGGCTGCGCCCTCAGCCCTGTGAGGGGACCTCATAGGGGTCTGCCCCCGGGCCATCTGCCTTTATTCGAATAAAGTTTTAGGGCTCCTCTGTCTCCTTGTGCACATTCGGTTCTTGACAGCGAGGTGTTCTGCACAGTTTAGTTTTGTAAATCAGTTTTTACCAACTCCTCAGCCTTAACTTAAAAATACACATATATTTATAATCTCCCTCCTAGGCCTTCCCCCCTCCTGCTCTACAGCTGCCCGGCCGCTGCAGCCTGGCAGCGAGGGCTGCTCCTCCTTCAGGTGCAGGGGGCGGCTTTGCGCAGGGCCAGTAACGCCCCGGCCGCCCCGCCCGCGCCTCCG